GTACAGGTCTGTTTCTTTCTATCTCCGTATCTTGTTAAAAATTGTACAAACGATGATTTACATGATGTACACAAAATAAAAATATTTGAGAGGGAGCTGTGTCACTGTGTGTTGCCCGCAAAAGGAAGGACTAAAGATGAATTCCACACTGAAAGGCAGAAAGAAGAAATGCAATGTGTGGTCTTTTCAACAGCCCAAACTTTGTGTTTCTTCTCTCTATTTTCCAGAAAGGAATCAATATGTTCTTGTCCCTAAATGAAAATATGCACGCAGTATACGATCCTATATCACATATGGGCCCAAAATAGACTCCCTTCTTTGGAAAAGGGTACCCTGAAACTACTGCTGTAAATAATATCAGTTATTATTACACATTCAGCCTTCATTATGATTGGGAAACATACAGTATGTGAACTATAGAGCAAACAGTATTTCTATAGCCTTTCAGCATGGCCTCTTCAACACTGCCGCTTTATAGACAAACCCACGAATTTGTGAAATCTAGCACCTGGAGGAAGCAGCTCAATACTGCAGACATGTGTGGGCTACAGTGGTGTGAAGGAGCTGGAGACAGCTTAATAGGATTCTTTTAATAAGGAGCTAAATTGGTTTAATAATAAGAGGCTTACGAGTAATGCAATAACTGGATCAAAACCTGACCCGTCTCAGATCTATAGCATGAATTAAACAATGCTGAGGAATTGCTCTACTGAAGATCTACCTTCTTTCTTTCTGCAATTTGAAAATGTATGGGGGGGGATTTAAAAAAATGCAGAATTATCCAGTTTACATAACGGAACATGTAAAGAATTATACATACATTGTAACAAAAATGATTGATTTTATTATACAATACCTTGAACTATTGAGAGTCTGAACACTTCTATGTGTGATCATTAATCTGTTAGAACTCAATCAGACGAAGTGAGACTCTTCTTTGCACTGTTTTGTAGAGAGGGTTTAGATTTTGTACATGTTGATGACACCAGATCCCCAGTGGACCGCTGACGTCACCCTGTCCCGCTGTTTCAATGCACACGTTATCAATAGGTGGCACCCCTGAAGCCAGTGTTACTGCCCTGATGCTCTTGCTTATATGCTAATGACTGCTGTCACATTAGGACATGTGGGTATATGAGTATTGTCAATATGGGCCACAGAGAACAAACTCCCAAATGGATTTGTACTCAACAAACCCATCAGTGAATGTACACCACTCCACCCTGTCTGAAATATAATGCATGCTATTGTCTACATTTTCTACTGATAACTCAGAGGCATTATATTTGACAGCAAAGTAGCCTTAAATGGAGTGCAGATGTTTGTCAAAGGGGTAAAGAAAAGAGATGCTGACAAATGATTCTCTTAAATTCATCTGCACATTTCTTTAAAATACCTCCCAAGTGAGATTGGTAAATGTAATCCTGAAGGGTAATAGGATCACTTAAGAAGGACTGCCAGCAGAATGGACAAATTATTTCACTGCATTTAAACTAATTACATTGATTTGTTGATGTAGTTGTGACTAAGAAATTGGCTGCTCTTTAAATGTCGCTTTGCTCTATTTCCTCTTGAAACAAGAGAGCTAATAACCCTATACAGTGAGTAAAAAAGAGGCTTCTTATTTTTAATTTCAGATTTTTTTTTATTTACACTACAGTATTACTGTATGTTTTACTTTTTAAAAGAATTCGCAAGAGCACTGCCCAAACCTGCTCAAAGCTAAGTATTTCATATCAAGAAAATATTTCTTTTTCCTAAGGATGGAAGCCTAAAGCATGACTCATACCTTACAGGTACCTGAGACCATCTGAGATTCCGACAAATTTCAATATACACAGTACCTGGAGGCAATGTTCAGTACAAATTACCAAATTACTTTGCAACTCCAAACATTTGCTGGACTGATAGCTCCTTAGGGTTACGTTCTTCAAAAGTACAGTATATATTAGATTTTTAGTATGTATTAGATGCAGTCTGTTATATTTTTTTTTCTTCAAAGCCTATTTTCCCCATATTAAAAATCAAATTGCAAATGAAAGCAAAGCGTGACCTACTCCTACATCAGACTCTTTTCTCACTCCAGTCAGCTGACAAAGCTGAATTACCAGCCCCCCAACAGTTTCTACGTCTTTGCTGTGGAACAGTAGGGCAGGCCACAAATTCAGTTCATTTCCAGGGAATTTCTCTTCTTTTTTACGCTTTAGCAACAAAGCATTCTACAAGGCAGAGATTTTTTTTTCATTCAAACCAAGCCCAATTAATTAATTGGTCTTTTTGTTATTTGGCCATTCTTTGATTTTTCGCTTTACTTCCTCATGATTTTTAAATTTACTCCCCTCTTGAATCAAGGGTGTCTTTTCAATCACAGACTGAATTTTCAGGATGAAAACTTTAAATGTAATAAATACATCTAGCAATAAAAGTATTCAAACCTAAGAAATTGGACCTTCGAGAGACTTGGAGACAGAAACACTGTCTGAAGATACCACAGACTTTGCAGTTTATCTTTTTAACCTGATAGGAACCTTTTTGAAAACGTACTGGAGACCATTGTACAGTTTTCATCTTTAGGATTTAACCTCCACCATATAATTTGGAAAAAAAGATGCTGTACTGTATCTATCCTGACAACACTAGCAATAGCCTAAGAAGGAGAATTGCATTGCAGTATAATTTCCTGTGGCACAGCAGTACAGACTCTATGCCAGTGTGATTTAAGTACACTTACAATATAGTTCTTTTGAACCACAATCAAACCAGAGACTGCCTTTGTTTGACTAAGTATGTGGCATCAAGGAGTGCTTTCTCCCTGTCTTGAGGCTTTCACGAAATGAACGCCAGCTGCTGGTAATTAAAGGAGTTTAAAATCACGCAGTCCTGAAAAGGAAAGACACTACATCTCCAAACTATCCGTCAATTCTGATCGCTGAGAATGTCTAATAAGCTGTCATGTTACTAATTACCCACCTTGCGCGAAACGTTTCAATTGCACTCCAACAAAAAAGGTTGTTTAGGGAAAAAAAAAATCTCAATCATGTTTCTCGGCAAGAGATGGTGATCAAAGAAGTTGTGTTTATGTGTGGCAACTGAACCATCTCAAGTGTCTGTGAATGTTGATTCTGCAAAGAATAAGTCTTAATAAGAAGGGCCCCGACTGTTTTTGAGAAAATGAGCAAACAGAAAAAAAGAAAAGAAAATCATATCATTAAGTCATCATTGATATGGGTAGCATGCTCCTGTAGCATTCTAAAATACAGACTGCAGCTGTTCTGAACACAATCTCCAGAGCACTTCGGCACAAGATGCAGAACAGCATGGGTGCAGAAGCTTAGTGAAGGTGTTCTAAGTAAAGGTGTCAGGATACTGGACAGTGTTGTTACAGATTTAAATGTGAGCATGTGCTTTTTAAACTCTAACCTCATTTTACCTCTTGTGTGTAAACACAACAAAAGATTTCATTCAAAACAACTAAATTCATATATGCAGTTTGATACTTGACTGTACACAATACCAGAGCCAGTTGTTGCTGCTGAAATGCCAGAGATTCCCTGCCAGGGGGCGCTCTGTCTCTTAGTGCTCACTGTGTTTTGATCCTGTTCGAGAGTGTCACGGAGAGCACAGTGAGGGAGTCCTGCTCTTATTGCTGTGATAGTGCTACATGCTATTCTAATAACTGCCACTTCACACAGACAGAAGACACTTCTCCCAGACGAGACCTGTCTTAGGTTCTGCACAGTTCTTGTTCTAGACAGAGTCCTGTGTTGCTCAGTCCTGCTTTCTGCTCTAGAGCTCTGCTCATGTTGCATTACAGTTAGTAGGAGGCAACACACCCTGTCTCCATCCTAGGCATGGTGTGTAATAAAGCAACAGAACTGTGCCCTCAGGATATCTTTATTTTTAGGTGTAGGGTTTTATTCTATCACCTCAAGGCACTTTACAGTCATGCCTTTACAGTCATTATGTCATAATCTGAGATATTTAGGATGGTCATCTCTTCCATGATTAGTTCACAGCCAAAATCTAGGCCATCTTTCCCAGCTGCTAATCTCATGACCTGGATATGGTGAAAGGTGCTTCTTTGCAACAGAGTTAACAAAGGGGTGTCGAATCCTAGTCCTGGGTGGACAGTGTGTCTTCAGGGTTTTATTCCAACTCAGCTCATAATTAGATAATCCAGGTGACAACTGACTTAAATGGACCATTTTAACAGCTTCTTCCAGTCTTTCAGGCACTGCTGCTTCAAAGACACCATGAAAACCTGCAGAGTCACTAGCCTTCCAGGTCCAGGACTGGACACTCCTAGTCTAGATGAAAAGCTAGATATGTAGTCACTCTAAAGACAATGCTAAAGCCACAGCAGCTCATGAGGCCAGAGCTCTTCCTGGGGTCTGCAGCATTGAGGGGAGCAAAGAACTCTCCCACAGATGGGACACGTCCATCATAGGCATCAGCCCCCAGCAGTACTGATTCTCACTCATACAGCTGGATGGACTGGAGCCACTGGGGTAAAGGACCTTGCTCAGGGGTATGCCAGCAGTGTCTGTAGAAGGGACTCCACCCCATAACCTGTCAGATATGAAACCAAGAGCTTCCACTACACTATGCAACCCCAACACAGTGAAGAAGTCACATGCAAAAACTAAATCCAGACCAACTCATTTCAGTGCCAACCAAAACAGCTCCTAGAATATTCTGATCACTGACCCCTTTGCCTGCTAAACAGAGTAGAGAGAGTAAAGATGGTATCTAAAAAGTAAAAAAAGTAAAGACACGGAAGTATAAAGAGCATAGAGTCGTAGAATATAAAAAGCAAGTAGAAAAAGTCTTAGGTGTATAAAGAGAGTAGAGTCAGTAACGACAGTAGCATATAAAGAGAGAGGAGGGAGTACAGACTTTGAGTATAAAGAGAGTAAAGACAGCAGAGCATTAACAGTCAGGATAGAAGATAGAGGCTGAAAGAAAGCCAAGCCAGTAAAAGCAATAAACAGTGGACTCACATGTTGTGCAGCACACACCAGCCGCAGTGGGGATCCCCAGAGCTCAGGCACTCTCCACAGGTGGAGTACTGTTCACATGACTCGATCGGGACCCGTGTCACCTGGAACACACAATCCACACAAATATTACAACACACGAGTCAGACTGCACTTTACTACAGGCTCACTGAGCCAGCACTCACTCACAGAAGATGCTTTACAGCACACTTCACAGCACACAATCACTGCCAGCACACTCTACAACACACACTCACAGCCAGCACACTCTACAACACACACTCACAGCCAGCACACTCAGCACACACTCACAGTCAATACACTTTATAACACACACACACGGTCTGCACACATTACAACACCCTCACATACTAACACACTTTACAACACACACTCACAATCAATGCACTTCACACACACACACATGGCCACGGTTCACCTGGACTTTCTGTTAGGCCACAGGCCAGATCCCACCCCAGAAGCCAAGCTGTCACATTCAGAGCAGTTACCTTTATACAGTAGCTGTATCAGGTTATGTTCTGCTCTTTTTATTCTTAAAAATGTTGGCAAACATGAAATTTCACTGCTTCATTGGAATGTTGATTTAACTTTAGATTAGATTAACAGTCAGGTTAATATTAGATATTCAGGTTGAAAGATTCCATAACCAATGATAAGAAACTGTTCAGGCAGGTGATTAAAGACTGATTTGTTGAATGATGCTTGATGGTGGACACTCTGATAACACAATACAACTGTCATTATTCCATACATACTGTATACAGGACATACACCTAATCTGCAATTACAAATAGCAAATAATTTGGTGAAAAGCATCAAAGAGTCTAAAAACAATTAACAAATGTGTACATATTATTAGATATGATTGCATTAGAAACTGTTGGGTTTTCAAGATCCAAAAGGAATGTTGATGCACTATTTGTGAAAGTTGTGCAAACATTTGCAAAAGACATTAGAACAACTGCATGCATAATCCTAACAGCAGCTCCACCCTACTTGCTGCAGTTCAAACAACTGTTCCCAATAAACTACGGATTTGTGCTCCATCACAGAATGCGAAAGTTTCTCGTTGCTTGTAAAAACGGTGTGAATGACAGATGCAAGTGCTAGTGAAACTCAACAACTGCCAGACTTTCACCGCCTTATATCTTTCTAACCCCAACAGGGGTGTCAGCAGCTGAGGCACAGTTGGTCAATGGAGCTCTCCACCATGACAGCTCCTTTGTGAGTCAGGTACAGTGCACATGCTCACAAGCAAACAGGGGGACTGTACAGACGCTGCCACAAAGCAAGCACCCTGTAAGTGCAGGGTGCCATCATTGGCCTTTCGCGACAACAGACACATTTGAATCAAATGCATCTAAGAAAGTGAATGGTTTTGAAAGTCAAAGGACACCATGTTGAAAACTCTTGGTAGGGTCTTAACATCAATAGGTATTTATCCGTGGTATCTTAATATGCTGTGCCGGTTTAAAATACATTTCATTAAAGCAAGAGGAATATACAACATCTCGTATCAAAAATCAATTTTCTGTTTAAACTCTGTAATTATATACCAGAGCAAAACCATTTTTAAAGATCTTAAAGTTCAGCAAGCACCTAATCCATTAGTTCAATTTGCCTATGTAATTTTATATTATAATATGCATTAAAAGAACCATTTCCTGCTTTTCCAGTAAAATTAAAATCTCTATACTAATTACACTGCTGTGAAACAATTTTATAGCGTGATTGTTTTTACAAACTTGCAGAGGAAACTTCAAAGATATCAGGAATTAAAAGAGAAGGAATCATTTGCACCACAGGCAGAGGATAAAATATTTTCAAACCATCATTATCATTATTGATTACTGTTGTTGTCTGACTTGCCTGAAGTAATTTCGTTGTGTTCTTGTACTGATGTGCCTGGATGATTTGGCCAGTTTGCTGTTTGTGATTCTCCCTACCATCTTTTAGGGTTCACCTGTAAATGCACTTTTGGAGTTGCTTTACGCGATAAAACAGAGCTAAATGATAACCTGTGCTAATCAATCTCCTGCACACGTACTGTGCTGAAAGCCGATTAAAAGCAGATGCTTGCTGTACCCTAAGTCTCCTGGTTTTGTGCTTGCGTTTCAGTGTGTTTGTGTCTGTGTGCGGTTGCAGCTTTTGTTTTTTAATCATTTGTTGTCAAGCAGAGGAATTACAATGGTGAGGAACAAAGCAAAAACACACGCTTTCAAACGGCTGTGTCTGGCAGTCTGGAACTATTTTTTGAGCCCTTTTATTCCTCCACCTTTGCAGGACAACTGATCCGTCAGTCTAATGACAGGCAGTGCGGAAACCGCAGAGCCGTGAGTGTGCTCTGAGAGCAGGCTGGGTACGATGTCCTCCACACAGGCCCAGTGGTGTCACTCGAACTGCTGTGGCTGCCCATCGCGAGGACTCTAGTGAAGATGACAGGCAATGTTATCATCTAGAGAAGATAACATTCTTGGCCATCACTGTGAAACAGTAATGGCACCATAAAAAGGCCACAGAAAAATGCCCAAACTCACTGCTCGCAAACTGATAACACTTCTGCCACTATGACAATTTCAACATATCCAGCAGCCACAAACTATTTACAAATGGAGACTCTCTGATCACTTATCCAGTAAAGGCACTTGCTTGGAGCACAGGTTGAGCTCTGAGATTAAGATGTTGGAAGTCTGAGCCTGGATCATATCACTAGGCTGACTGCGATGGGATTCTCCATACGGCTGCGCAACACTGGCACTGAACCACAGAGGGTAAGGCTGGGATTAGTTAGCCAGGCCTCTTGCAGTGAAGGATGTCATGCGTCTACAGCTGGCACCAAATCTCTTGCATGGAATTTGGGGAGCTTGCAGTGTCTCAAAAGATGAATGGATGGGCATTTGGAGCATACACACACAAAGTATTAGGACAAATAAGAAGACAAGAAAGGTTGCCAACAAGTGGAGGACATCCAACCAGTTTGGTAGATAGTAGCTAATTGATCCAGGGATCTAGTCCAGGTGTCTCACAAAAGAAATGAGCAAATATGGATTAGTATCTTGTTTAAAACGGTGCATGGATCCCATCTGAAAAGAGGTGAGTATACAGTAGGTGTATTGTAAACCAGGTCAGCTCTACAGGTCAACGTAAATATTAGGAGGAACATAAATATTATTCACAAAGTGCTGATGTTGACATTCTTGTCGCTCTCGGATATACAGTATAACAGCCCTGGGAAGCTGATGACATAATGAGAGATATATCAGCTACTACAGTACGTCAGGACAAAAAAATGAATGGGAGATGCATGTCCTCACAGGATGAATGCACATGTACGTTTCATTCATATTCCCAGACGTACATGAAATGAAACAAGAACTGTACAAGGCAAAACTAAATTGACCTAAATCTGCTTGAAAAAGCTGCAAGTTGGTCTTGGGGAAGGGAGCAATTTTCCTCATACTTTTAACATTCTTTATCTTATTCCGTGAATCTACAATGTAATATTGAACAAACAAAAGGTTCATTCAGAGGGGTGTGTTCAAAAGACAATGGTGTTGATTGGAGATGGAAAGGCACAGACGATTTTCAATCAGTGCCTAAGAAGAACTCTTAGCTCCTTTGTAATCTCCACCACTCGGCAAACAGAGGGATCATTAAAGCCTTGCCTTTACTGATACTGCTCCCTCTGAGACTACCAGCTCTCTGAAAGTCATGTCTGAGTGCCTGGTGTGAGCCTGCCCTGAATGATTTTGGAAGCTCTTCTTTCTTTTATCATCACTATCATCACCATGTGTAAACTGCGACAATCCTATAGCAATCAACACTGATGCCTGCATTTCTTTGATATGCTCAAAGCACCTGTTCTGTTTTCTCAGGCACTGGTTTTGGAAATATATACAGCAGCCCAGCAAACTAAGAAAGCCTAGGAAGCACATCTCAAAAAAACTTAAATAAAAAGTTGTTATTTAGATGCCACAATTAAGTATTTTGCTCAGTAGTACTGTTTGGAATATTATGTTACTGGTATCAGAAATATAAGAATTTTATTGGATTTTTAAAATCAATTAACTCAGTGAGAGGGCTGGGGATTTTTTCTTGACGACTGATCACTGGAAAAAGGTTCTCTTAGCCACTCAAATTTGGCATCCTTTATTAAAGCTTACCATCTTTCCCAAAATTCAGTTACAACACAGTTGCAATATAGACCACCATCAAGCGCCATTTTCAACTCCAGTACAATACGGTACAGACAATAGTCATTCTTCGGTTACAACCACTATATACAGTAACATAGGCCCACGTCATTTCTGTAGTACATTATAATGTGTCACAACATTAGAAATTGCTACAATTATTACTTAATTACAGTACAATGCACTATTCATAACTGATCAACAGATCAATTGAATTACAACTTCAACACAGAACACTGCAGACCTCTATCATTCATAATCCTAGCGATTACTTGTGAATACGCTTGAGATGACATTAGGAACAAATGCGGTCAAGTAGTGCTGCTCTTATAGCAATTGTAAAAAAAAGATTATTTTTTAAAAGGAATATATTATGTCCTTTAAAGGTGAAAAGAAAGGGAGGTATATTATGTGAAAACAGAAACTAATGACAAGAAACATGAATAGCTAGATATGGCATTCTCCAGTACCTTTAATACAGCAACCCAGAAGACAGAAAAGGTTATGTACATTCAGTACATTAACCCCAGCTATTCTAAAACACCACAGCAATGTCACACCTCACTATCACTGGTAATATTTATTCTGACCCCCCCTTCAGTCAGCCTGTGAGATTGGACTCTCTAAACAAAGAGGAACATTGAGGGAGTTATATTTAGTAGTGAGGGAACAGGCAGAAGAGGTCACAATTGATTTTGTTACGTGAGTGAGCCAGGTGTCTCAGGTCATTACCTTCCAAATGCCCCTGGAAAGAGAAAGGGACTTTGGAGGGAGGGGATGAGCCCAGGCAATGGGACAGCACTTGTTAGAGTTTCAGCTACTGTAAACAGGCTAAACCTCAGCACAATTGCAGTTGGAAGAGACACCACTCCGTACAATAGCAAAGATCT